TTTTTAACTAAATGTCAGTGTCAGTGGAATTTTTTTATAACAAAAAAGAAAATCCACATGAAAAAGAAGTCAACTTATTGTTTATTATCTTCCATGAAAATTGTAAAAATGCGCAAGTGCTCTCCTTGTCACTTCCATGGACTCATGATCTCCATCTAGATGCCAAATCTAGCATAGCCACTCTTCTTCAACCTTTTTCAGATCCCCTTTTCACTACCCTCTCGAACGGACTACAAAGACTCGATCAAACAAAGATGAGCGCTATACCAAGGCTGAAGCTAGCCGATGCAAAAGCTTCCAGCCCACTCGTACTCATGATTCATTTTTCAAGTTCCAAAAAAGCAAAGTAGGATTTAAAACTGTGATCTTGCGACGACCAAATACTGGAGCCCAACAAGAAATCAAAATGATGATAAACCATTGTTCTTCAACCATTTCTTTTGGTTTAAGCATTTCTTCGAATAGATGGTGAACAAGCATACCTCTACGGAATATTTCAGATTGAACACGATTTATGTACCATAAAGAAAACAAAGCGAAGAGTTAACAACCTAACCTGTGTGGTCTTTCTGTTAGATGTATTCCCTAAAGTTACCATGTAATAGTTACATGTTAGGGATTTAAGTTGTACTTTCAATTACATTATTTATTTAATGGCAAGGACGCATTCATTCACTTGTCCAATTATTTAAATATATGAATGATTCCATAAGATCAGTTGTGACTGGATCTATTCTTGAGACGTTAAGAATATGTGTGACAGGTTCACAGTTAGACTGAATCTTTAAATTGTTCTCGGTCGATGGATCATTGAGTGGATATTAATGATCCTGTTGAGACCGGTGTGTTCATAACTTCACCAATAAGTATTGGATACTTAAGGGAATGACGAGTCACGGGTCATTGGATATTGCGATACCCGAGTTAGAACACAGGTGCTTGTATCAGACAAGTTCACTGAACGTGACATGCATAGAACGATTAGCAACATGGAAACTTTTAGCGTGGTCAATGTCTAATCGTTCGTGCTCTGGTCTTGTATGGATAATTCTTAGATCTGAGGTACAGTGTTGACTTGTATGTTGGATGGCTATGGTTCACAGGTGTGCATATTGCCGCTTCGTTGATTCGTCTCTGTACTTGATGGCCATAGTTCGTTCACATACGAAGTTACACATGTGCGCAAAATGGAATCTGTCTCCTTGTTATATGCAAGGTACAATAATGATGTCCTATGCAATCTAATCTTGACATTGCATTGAAATCCTCGGCCGGGGTTGTAACCGAGAATGAACTGTTCATGTCTCATATAAAGTGCATGTCAATTAGATTTGTGCATATGATCGAATTGGTGACTTGACAAATATTCCATGGTCTTTGTTCGATCGGGACATAGTAAGGCAGAGGGATTGAATTACACTGTAACCAAAGCTGACAGGTTCATTATGTTCTTAAAACATTCACACTGTCTGGGTAGCCATGACATATTGCTAGATGTCAATCATGGCTTGTAGAACCTAGAGGTTGATCGGGACAATCAATTCTCTTGGGAGTACTAACGTGTTAGTGCAAGTCTTACTACCAGCTCAGTGATGAACCTAGGGATGTCACACACCATAACCAATTTTGGATGATGTAGTACGGAAGAGACGATATAGCAAATATGTTTGCAATCGAATTGAATCGGACTGAAATTAAATTAAATGGGATTTAATTTAATTCAATTTTTGTCATGGGCGTGTGTGCATATGATGCTCACAAAGTACACATATGCTGATCATGCACTTCTATATTTGATATATACATATTTATATTTATTTATAATAAAAAAAATAGAATTGTCGCATGCACGTGGCCAGCAAGCGCTGACCATGTGCATGGCACACGGTCAACAAACGGTTGCTGACCGTGTGCATGACACACACGATCAGCAACCGTTGCTGATCGTGTGCAACGTGCACACATGCGATCAGCAACTGTTGCTGATCGCACATTTATTAATGATGCGATTAGCAACTGTTGCTGATCGCACATTATTAATGGCGCGATCAGCAACAGTTGCAAAAATGATGAAGAAAGCGTATGCAATTAATTATGTGTTTGTAAGAGTTAAGAAAAACATTTTTTTTTCTCTTCCGACGCTGTGACTGAAATATCGAGAGTGCGAAGAATTGTCGCAACAAGATTGCTAGCACAATTTTATTGGTGATTATCCGCAAGTTCTTTCTTCCGTTCATCGTGCGATTGGTGGTGTGTCTGAACTAGAGGTCCAACGGTTGTGGGGCTCGAACTGAAGAACATCCGAACCGAAATCGTTTTGGGCACGCTACGAGAGGTAATCCGTTTAACCCCCTATGGTCTTTCGATTTTTGATTGAAACACACGAACAACGCCTTTGGAGATACATGTATGGTTATAATTTTCCGTTGCGTTTATATTTAATTTTAACTATGCATGTTCCGTAGAAAACCAACACTTTCCGCATCCAATCTCACCAGATATAAGAACTACCTGCTTTGTATAAAGAACAAGCAATAAGTCGAAGGATGAATTAAAGATTCTAGTCAAGCATATGTCCAGAAAAGTCCTTGAATGACAGCATTGGAAATCAGCATACTAAAAACAAATGCATATGTTCTATAAGAATAACCTATAAGATATTAAGCATATGGTAAAAAATAACCGGATGACAATCTAGTGATGACATCCCTGAAGGATGCAATTGGAAGCTTAGACCTCTCTTCAGTAATATGCACGTGTAAAATCAGAAAAGTTTTGAGATAACCAGCAGCAAGCTGGGGAGCAAAAATTGAACTCATTCAAATTTGTACCTCGAAGCTAGGGCAGAGCGAGGGAGTGGTACAGCTTCGTCGGATGGCGGTGACAACTGCAAGGCGTCAACTAGGGCTAGGCGATGGCGTCGGCGTCAAGAGGTGCAGAGCGAGTCGAGGCGAAGGCGAAGGGCATCGGCCTCGGCTAGGCCTAGGGTGATGGCTAGGTTGTCGGGCTTCGTCATCAACGCCGGTGTCAGCTAGGGCTAGGGTCGTGGGCCTTCGTCGTCAACGTCGGAGGCGATGTCGAAGGCGCCGCGTCGGACGGAGCGCGAGTTCTCAGAGTGCAAAAGGCATCGGCGTCGGAGGCAGCGTCGAAGGCGTCGCGTCTGGGAGGAGAGAGAGAGAGGTTGGGAGCGCGAGTACGTGGAGGCGTCGGCGTCAGCGTCAGAGGCAGTGTCAAAGGAGTTGGAGGGAACGCAAGTTCTGAGCAGATATGGGAGGAGAGGGAGAGAGGTTGGGGGCGCGAGAATGCCGAGAGATGAGAGAGAGGCATTTTATTTTGAAAATCGGAGGTGTCTGACCGGGTGGGGCCCCTCAACACGTGTCGCACGGAGAGGCACTCGTTTTTTTGCCACGGTGGAATCCGAGGGGCACCCAATTTTTTCTCCATCCACTCTACTCTTTGTAATACACAAACTATCTGATAAAAATTTCCTTACCTTGCCTCATTATTGCTCCTTTGATGAATACGTACTAGCACATTAACACCACCATATCTCTGAATTTGTTAGATATTTTCTTCTTGTTTTGATCTATCGTAACACTCTTTAACTACCCCTATTAAACTTTTAGATACCACAAACTTCTGTAACAACAATCTTGGAGAAGTCTAGCCTTTTCTATAGAATTGATCAACTCTTTAACACTTCTCCTTGATCAATTTTTGTAATACTCCTAAGCTTGCTTGGCACTGTCTCGAATTTGGCTTGTGGTAGTGCTTTAGTAAATATGTCCATGACTTGATCCTCGTTTTGCGGTACTTGAGCTTGATCTCTCTATTACTTTGCACTTCTTGTGTGAAGTGATATTTGATGGCGATATGTTTGATTTCTTCCATGAAAATGAGGGTCTTTAGAAACATAATGGTGGACTACCTGTTGCAACATTACTTTAGTGCTACATTGGAGAAAAACAATCACTTAAGTATTATCGGTGACAAAATCCGATAAAAAGTATTACGTGGCTTTTTTTAACTTTTTTAACTAAATGTTAGTGCCAGTGGAATTTTTTATAACAAAAAAGAAAATCCACGTGAAAAAGAAGTCAACTTATCGTTTATCTGTTGGAAATATGGGATAAATTGATGGGTGAATGAATGAGAAATTGATGCTCAAAGAACACCCTTGAGTTGGAAGTGGGAAGAGGAAAAACACTATTCCCACATCGGAAAAGAAAGAAAGCTATGGAGTGCTTTATATACAGTTACACTTATTTGAAGTGGTAATTATCATAGCACAAACTCTCTGCCTCGCGCGCAGGCGCAGGGGTGCAAATCCGACGCCCGACAAGTTGAAACTTGGGCGCGACCGCACATCCCGCGTACACGATTGCATGACCGAAAAGTGGGCCTCGCGACGAGCCCAATTTTGCCTTCTGATTTATTTTTTCAACTCAAACTGTTACGAATTTCGTAACGTGTGGCAGAATTAATCGTCCGTTATTCGTATTGATTTTATAACGGCAGAATTAATCGTCCGTTATTCGTATTGATTTTATAACGGCATATTTAATCGTCCGTTATTCGTATTAATTTTGTAACGACAGATTTAATCGGCCGTTATTATTCCCGAAATGCTCTCCCCTGCGTTCTATTTTAATCGAAATCATTCTTCCTCTGTTTTTACACGCTCTCTGCATTTTGTACTGTTTTTCGGTAGTGTTCATTTCGAGTTTGTTCAAGTTCGCCGGAAGCTTGGAAGTGCCGTGCTCTCTTCTTCGCTGTCAACCGTTGTATCCTGGAAGACAGACGTTCACGAAACCTCGGTCGCGTACTGGAGGGAACGAATCTGTTTTAAGGAAACTGTGTCAAACACAGGCCTCGGTATTCGTTTATATCGATTCCAACTTTGTTATTGCAATTTCGTTTCTTTACAATACTGTATTGTTTGTAATATTTATGCTAATGCCGATTTGAATTTCCGCAACATTATCATCCTCCATGAAAATTGCAAAAATGCGCAAGTGCTCTCCTTGCCACTTCCATGGACTCATGATCTCCATCTAGATGCCAAATCTAGCATAGCCACTCTTCTTCAACCTTTTTTCAGATCCCCTTTCCACTACCCTCTCGAACGCACTACAAAGACTCGATCAAACAAAAATGGGCGCTCTCCTAAAGCTGAAGCTAGCCGATGCAAAAGCTCCTAGGCCACGATTCAGGACTTGGCTGGCCGACTCCTCTCTCCGAAACCACGATGCCGACGACCATTAGCGCACGCATGCCATCCTGAGCTTCCAGAATAACGTCACCATCGTTACCGACGACCCCTGCTTGACCACCAGCGATCATTAGTGTCGGCTCCGGCGAGCTTGGTCGAGAGGCCCTGTTTTCCTTTTTGTGTTTCCGTTTTTAAGAGCTGTCTATAGGGCGGATATTATTCTTTGCAACCGCTGTTTCCCCCGTAGTTTTGGCTTCATATACCCCCGAGAGTTAAAATCACAAAACAATCCAAATTGTGGGTCCCAAGCGTAGCAGTAGTCGGCCATGGACGAGCGACACCGTCGGCGCCGACCACGACTGACCGCATCCCGCCATGGCTAAATCTGAATTCGGATGCGAATAAGTGGTTTTTAGTTCTTATCTAACATTCCATTAAAATAGAATATGAAAGCCAATCAATTTAAGATCCTCCTCTCTCTCTTTTCTCTGCTTCTTCGCCACCTCGGTTGATGCTTTACTGCACTCACTCGACATCGACTCTTTGCATCTCCAGTCGATCAAAAGCTACTGTAATCACCTCATAAAATCTCAACACAGAGTCGGGCCTCAAGTTTCTCGATGACTTCCTCTCATAAAAACTTACATCTCCGGGTATCTCTCTCTCGTTCTCTGCGAGATCAATGGCTCAATTCAGTATTTCCTCTGCTTGTTGGGATGGTTATGAAGGTCTTGATGGCAGAGATCAGCTCATGAAGGACGACATAAAGGTGTACGCTGCAGTTGTGGAGAAGCCTGGAGGACCATTCCCTAATTTGGGGTGAAAATAGCGGCCGCCTTGTTCTTTTGGAGAGATTCCTCCTCTTTTATTTTTCCCTAGACTGCTTCCACCATTTTTAGATTGTGAGACCATATGTTTATTTTAGAGTGAAAGACATTTTTCAATTGATTCTTCATCTTATACCATCTGTCTTTTTCATGAGCATCTAGAGAGCCGAACAATTCGACAAGTTCTTAACTATTGAGGTTCTTCTATAGAGATGACAATAGGATTGTAATTTCTAGTAAGTGTCACCAATATTTTTTTAATACTGCCCTTTAGTCAATGATATCATCTGTCTTGATCGGGATAATTGTCCAAAAAATCATAAACCTATTGCACTTTTGCTAATTCAATCATAAACCTTTCGACTTTGTCAATTGAGTCCTAAACCTAGCCGCCCTCCCCAACAACAACGAGGCTCGGCCTTGCCGTGGTTGGGGAGGTCGGCCCCGCCTAGCCACGATGAGGCTCAGCCTCGCCGGATTTGGCAAGGCTGACCTCGCCCAGCTATCGCGAGGCTCGCCCTCACTAGTGGCCGACGAGGGTGAGGCTCGCCTGAGGCCGGTGAGGTTGACCTTGCCGGTCCTCTCCTCTAGCCAATTGCCGATGCCCGATGACCGGCTAGAGGAGGAAGGAAAGGAGGAAAAAAAAAAGAAAAAAAGAATAGAAAAGAAAAATTCAAATATTATTAAAAATTATCCACGTCAACGCTGTGTAATCCGGCCGGCGTCCACGTCAGTGATTTCCAGCCAAAATAAGCCGGATGGACTCAATTGGTAAGAAGTGAAAAGGTTTATAACTCAATTGGTAAGAAGTAAAAATATTTAGGACTCGATTGACAACATTGAAAGGTTTAGGACTGAATTGGCACAAGTGCAATAGGTTTAGGACTTTTTGGACTATTTTCTCGCCCTGATTTGATTTACTAGTTTGTTAAATTTACCACAATATTGTTGGACGGTCTCATAATCTTTCATTTTTGCATTTTCGAATAGTGCGTACCGTTGTTGTGATTTGGAACTCTTATTATAGTATATCTCATTCTTTTTTTGTGGTCTTTGCTCCAATGATTCGCGGAAATATCATTTCCGGGAGTGCTTGTTGGGTGACACGGAGTCCTTGCATCTTTTGTAGTTGCTCTGTCAGAACGCTTGCACTTTCTTTCGGAGCCGCATATCCTTGCTCTAGTAGTCATAGCTATTTCCATGAAAAGTAGGATGGGTAGTGAGTGTGAGGTAGAGTTGGCCATATCGCCATATCTTGTGTCGAATATTTAGATGGGTGATCTTAGTAGCGGGTGCACAAGACAAACCCCTAATACCAACCGAACGAGACTCTAATACCAACGTTAAATTTTGGTGTTAAATGTGCTAGTGTGTGTCTGTGTGTAGGCTTTTTGGCAAAGATCAATAATGGGAGAATATAAGTATATTTTCATTAGATAGTTTGCGTATTACAAAGGATTGACGAGCTTTTTTTTTGAAGTTGGTATGTTATATATACCTGAACGAGCGTCGAGCATTTTCATAGGCTCCTAAACCGACTTATACATGCTGAATATCTCTGCATTTGTCAAAGATTTTCTTGTTGTTTTTAACCGTGGCCACACTCTTTAATTATCACTATTAAACTTGTAGACATCGCAAACTTCAACTACAAACTAGAGACTTGTGGATATGAATCATAGAGAAGTCCAGTCTTTTTTCTAGAAATTTGATCAACCCTTCAACAATTACCTTCCTCACCATCGGCTTTGAAGTAGCAATCGTCAAGGAAGGTGCACACGGTGATACAAATAGCTCACGGAACCTTTTTATCGATCATAGTTCCTCCAAGTCTTCAGGGCTTAAAGAGTTGAATGTAATTGAGCGGGACTTGCTCTATTTAAATGCTCATGTCAGTTCTCTAATGAAAGATCCTGAATAGTGAAGGCATAGGATGGATAAAAATACCAATGTTGGGAAAAAACATTGCTGGATGACCTCGAAATTCTTGAAACATTTCTCTCCTTCATATAGCTTAACATTTCATGTATTTAGATTACCTCCTGCTGTTACAACAAACCTCTTTCAGGTCTTTCCTTGCTGTTGTCTTCACAGAGGGATCCACTATCGCATCTTTCTTGGCATATACTAGTGATAATAATTGATCAACCACCTTCTATCATGTTTCTTCCTCTGTCCTAATGTGTTTACAACTCTCAGTCAAGCTAACATAGTCACCAGGCCATGACAATCGGGTATAATAAAAGTGTTGGCAGGTTTTTCATCTGAGTCCTACTACAAGATTATCCCACGTCTTGTAGAGGGTTATGATCAGAAGGTTTCCATTTATTGGCCCTTTTCTAGGAAATCTTAATTGGGTCTGCTATATATGAAGGCGGAGGATTTTTTCACAATGAAGATGGGTGGGCATCGATACTTGGGCAGACTCAGCTGATGAATGGAAAAGTCTAAAAAGAGAATTTTGAACGGGAAAAAGGTGAAAAGGAAAACCAAAGTGAAGAAGAAGTCAATAAAGAACCAGAGGACTTTGAAATGGCCTTACGGCATTACATCCTACTTGTTGTATATACTGATTCATTCAGCGCAAGAGCTATATATATGAAGAGTGTCTTTAGAGAAAGTAGGTCAATGATCATCTGCCTGCCCGTTGGACTTTTACGACTTACAATGTCGCAGAACAATCTTCCATGTTCAGTGTCCAAGGTTAATTGTTTCCAAATTCAGTATCAGTGTCGAAGGTTTATTTGTTGGTCATAGTATCAGTGTCATCGACCCAAAAAAAAAAATAGTATCAGTGTCCAAGGTTAAAAGAGAGAGATGTGTGCCTTTTCACTTGTAGCGGTCTTGTACCTGCGAATATAGAATTCCAGGAGAACGATGTAACTTTAGCACAATTGCCTGCATAGGTAAGATAGCTAAAGTCTCTAATTCGATATGTGATGCAGAATGAAGCTTAGAAACCGGAACGTAAGGCACGATTTGTAGATGAAGGAAATCAAACGATGCAGAAGGCATGGGATTAGACGACAAAAGCACTTTGGAGTTGGAAATCCTGCATTGGCCCATCGGGTTGTCTCACTCGTTTGCCGATACTTGCGATTCTCTTCATTCTCCACCACTTGCAGTTTCCACCGTCAGGTTCATTCACGTAGCCAAGATTCTTAGATGCGCAAAGACCATTGCCCATTTTCAATGCCAGCCAAGTGAGAACACACACACCCACGCACGTACACATCTCACAGCAAAAAGGTGTTTGTTTGATACCACGTTCAGCACTCGGCCCTTTTGTTTTCCTGCGACCGTGTTGCGTCTTTAGGCAAAGAACCAGATTTTGAGTGGCCAACGGCAAAAGCTAGAAAAAAGGGAAAGAAAAGTGAGGATACCCACTGGATGACTCTGAAGTATTTTGTTTTGTGCACTGTTTGCTTGCGCCCTCTCTCTCTCTCTCTCTCTCACAGCTATTATCTTGTTCGGAAATTCATAGGAGGAAAAAAGAAGAGTTTTTTTGAGTGGTTTAGTGTTGAAGACGAGTCTGTCCACCAAAATAATGCCTGCATGATTGAGATGTTGACCTTAACCGAGCGAACAAAAGTTCCCCCCTACACTACAGCTTCGCCAAATGGACCCCCTTGTACACGTGTGTGTGGGCCCACGTCATCTTACCTAACAGCTAATTCGCTGTCTTTTGTCCACCCGAAGAAGGAGTGCCCCCAACGAGTCCCATGCTTCCTAATCTCCCCCGTACTTCTGCACATCACACCGTTCATGCTCATTCCCCGTTTTGTTCCTGTGGCTGAGGTTCTCATTTTTTCCTTCCTCCACTCTGTGTCCTTGCGCTTTCTGAATTTCTTCTTCTCTGAATTGACTGATGTGCATGTGCCATGAATCCTTTTAGTGTTGAAGTGTAAGCATTCGAATTTCAAAGGGGGTTAAAGGTCCAAGAATCCTTTTCTTTGCAATTGTTGTCATGGTCGTTAGTGCGCGTCGCATTCAGCGGTTAAATTCCTAATTAAAATATATGCTGGAGTTAGTGAGATTACCAGGACTTGGACCTCCTTAATGCCTTGACTTGAAAATCTTTCATCTGTGCTTTGAGTGCCTTTTCTACTCAGGAGTGACATCACGCTTCCATACTTGCCCACTTCACCCTCTCGTTCTCCTCTTCACATTGCCAGTCTTCTCGTCATCAATCGTTTTCTCTTTCTTTTTACAGGAAGAAGGGAAGGCCTCTGAAGCACCTTCTGCAATGTGATTTCTGTGCAAATAGAGAACATAGTAACAGTAAATGTTCATGGGGTGTCTTTATACCTCTTGGCTTATTATACAGTTAGAAGATTCCCCTAGAAACCAGTGCGGGTAATGGGCATGTATGAAGATGACCTCTCGGCCTTCTCGTTTGCAAGAACAACTCAGTTATAGAGACATGTACCCAAAAACGAGTCTTGCTTTGACGATCCCATCTGGCTTTTTTATGGCAAATTTGGATCTTCTGATCTCCATTTCCAAAATCAGTACTTAAATAGCTGTTGGATTTGACAAGGACCCACCAACCTCCTTTCGCACTTGCGTCTGAAAAATCAAAAGTTTAATCATCTCCTTTTTCGAAGACTCATTCATGGCCATATTACTCTTTCCGCAACGAGGATGGTGATGCAATTTACTAATGCTACTCCCTTATATATGTAAAGCTTTTTGTCCGAAACACATTCTATGCCTTACTCTCTCTCTCTCTCTCTCTCTCTCTCTCTCTCTCTCTCTCTCTCTCTCTCTCTCTCTCTCTCTCTCTCTCTCTCTCTCTCTCTCTCTCTCTCTCTCTCTCTCTCTCTCGCTCTCTCTCTCTCTCTCTCTCTACTCACACTCTACAGCAGCTTAAAGAAATCTACGGACTGTCCTAAAGCTTGTTAATTTCCATTATATTCTCAGGTGAAATATTGAGTCCCAATCAAATTATGGACTCCTATCAGCACCAGAAGGGTGGAGGGAGAGAATCAGACAGAGGAAGAGAAACAAAGCAGCCACCACCACAACCACCACCTACAACTTCCATATCGCCACCATCAGCCACCTCCTCCCCTTCTCATGAATTCTCCTTCACAATCTCCCTGCACTCCTCCGCCACCCCCAACACCACCAGCACACCAAGCAAAACCAAGAACCCAACTTCCCTAGCGATTGACCTGTCTCCTGCTGATGACATCTTCTTCCATGGCCACTTGCTCCCTCTCCACCTCCTCTCCCATCTCCCCATCTCTCCGCGCTCCTCCGCTAATTCCTTGGACAGCTTCACCCTCCCCATCAGGGACTTCCCAGATGATCAAGGCTCCATCAAGAGTCATGGCAATTATGACCGCGGTGACAGCGATGAGGATGATGGTGGCGGCTATGGCAAAGGCGTACACAAGCAGAGAATAAAAGGTGATGAAGAAAGTGAAGCTCCTCGGGGAAGAAGCAAGCTCAGATCCTTTTCCCTATTTGGTATACCCAGACGGAAAAAAGCAAGAGCCAGTGAAGTTAGAGATGGGGAAGATTACAAAGAGAAGCAGAAGAGTAAGAAACTGATCAGCTTTGACATGACCCAGATGTTGAAAAGGTATGCAAGAATGGTGAGACCACTTCTGCAGTTTAGAGGCAGGAGAGGAGAAGAAGGTGCCCAATTCAGAAGGCAGTCACACTCTTTCTCAGGGAATGTCGATGGGAGGAGAGAGAATCGAGAACTGAGAGCTCCACAATTTTCAGCACCAGCATCAATGAGGACATCCCCAACCAACAGTGGCCTCCTAGCGCCAACCACAACCCTCCCTTCTTCTACCTCAGATCAAAGCACCATGGAAGAGTTGCAGGCTGCAATTCAAGCTGCAATTGCCCATTGCAAGAACTCCATTGCAGCTGAAGAAAAACTCAAGGCTTGATGTGTGTTTTTATCAGTTGTTGCCTTAGGTTCTGTATGTTCTCTTTTTTTTATATAGTCATCAAATCATCATCTCCTTGTGTATAATTAATTGTATATCACATCGATAAATGTAATGAGTTTCTTGAGAATCATAGATTTAGATGACAGGATTTAGTCACAGATTTGAGATTGGCAGAAGCTTGTTTTGGGTGCTTTTGATTTCTTCTCCTTCAAATGATGTCCCAGGAAAATGCATTGGGTTCTGCTCTGCCACTATTCAGAGCAATTAAAATATTCTCTCACCCGGAAACTGCAACCACTCGAGCAATACAATAATTTGTTGGTATCTTGTAACAAGGGCCTCTTTTGCGCATAATTGCAAAATTTGACTAATATGGGTCTTGAGTTTCTAGTCAAAAAGTTTTATGGGCTTCAGTGTCCCATGGGAGATTTTATTTTTAAGTGCTTTTTTCTTTACTTTTTGCTCCATGCAATATTGATCAGGCGAGGTTGCTCTCTGTCATATGAGTGATTCCTAGAGCCAACGCAGTACACACCTTTTTGGCTATTTTCTCTTCCTATACAACCAAAAGATTTCTTCTTTTTTCTTTGTTATTATTCTCTTGCCCCCGAAGCTTGATTACTTCACTCTCTTTTCCCTTCATGCACTTTTCTTTCATTTATAAATGATTCGCTTCTGTAGAGGTTATTCGAGCTCGTTTCAATACCATAGATTCCCTAGTGTAAAGCATGTCGAAACAAATCTGTGAATTCATCTCATTTCCATATCTAACACATACCTAGCTTTTTCGAATATGGATGACGAGATCCATGATGTACCCTATGCAGCTAAAGAATGTCCCAGAAAATGAAACTCAATCTTGTATCATATGAAATATCATATCAAACCCATAATATTCCCATTAGATTTATTCATGCGACTACATAATCAATCCATGCCTTGGCAGCATCAATATGACATCTTGGAAATCTTTTTCCTTCACCGTTTGGGTAATGTATCACGCCTTTCTGTGTGTAATGTCTCCAAATGAATTGTCTGTGATGATTTTTTGGTATGCTTTTGTTTTCCACCATATTTTGTATCAATGGTGACGTTCTTTTTTCTTTTACGACAGCAACATGGCTCATAATCTTGTATATGAGTAGTTTCTGCTAAAAATAAGGTCTCTCTCACCTCAGTTCGGAAACAAGAATTTTCATTCATTAGGTGATTGTCATGCCGAGGTAATGCAAATGAATCTCGTTTTCTATTTTATTGTATCCACTTGTTGTTAAGATACACAACAACAGTTGTACCAACTACGTACCAGCAGCAGATTATGCAGTCCAGAAAATATAGATTTTTTCCCTGCACTCTCAAATCCGCTATAAGAGCTTTGGCGATTGGCATATACTCGTGAAGTCGATCTGCCCGTGATTTTGTAGTCAATCCACTTCAAACTTTCTAGAGAGTTTTCATGGACTATAATTATACTACACTCAAAATTGACTTGAGCATGCATTAGCAAAATGATCGAACAAGTCACATGTGAGATATGGACTGCCACGAGGGTATCTACTTATGCGAACCGATCTTGACAGCAATCGTCCTTCAAATGAACTAACAATACAATTGCGACAACAGCATCTTTATTGGCAATTTTCTGGAAAATAAAAAAGGCCCTCCTCCTTCTACGAGGTAAGTAAAAGGAATCGAATCAGTAACAAGCTGCTCGTAGTGAGAAAAAGAGAATGGTCAGATACTGTCAAAAGGGGATAGCTTCAATGGTCTCTCGATCAAATTGGGCGTGTGGGGCTCAATGAGTTTTGATGATTAAGCTCTGTGAAAAGGGGAGGCCAAGTACGACAATTATTTACGTGATGAGAACGAAGAAAGCAGAAGGTACTCGGTCCTTCATTAGCCCTTGGACACACCAACTACACTCATGCATTAGTGGGTGCTATTGGGATTACCTTTAGTCTCATATAACAACAAAAGATCACAATGATGAGGCTGATGATGATAGCTTCTTATAATGATTCCCTAGCGATCGAGTCAGCAACTTTAGTATGAGTAAGGACTGTGTGGATGGTTATTGTAACTACCAAGTTACCTTTTCAGACAAACCCCACATACCCACATGAAGCTGATTAAAAGTGCTTTGAATCCTTTTCAAAAGATCGCACCAAAAGCAAGGAGAATTGAAAAAGTGACCCCCCAGAGAAAAGGGTGCACCCAGCAAAAATTCTTTCCTTTCCTTTGAGATGCGAGAAGATAAAAGAGCTCGCATTGGACTGTGCATGCGTGGATCTGCACTCAGACTGAAGCATATGAGACATTGCTTGATGTGCAGATTCCTAGTTTTGCGTATTGAGAACTGCAAAAGGAGGCCATAACCTTTTGCCAACAATCGAGGATGGCCCGCCAAAAGAACTGTGCCCGTGGGGCTCTAGAAGGAAGCGCTTCTCAATGATTAAAAAGAAAAGAGCCTCTCCTAGCAACGACTGCTCAATGAATTTGAGGCCACAGTTGGTGGGAGGATTGGGGATTGCTAATGAAATCTAGATTCTGATTTTGTTTATTGCATTATGGTGAGGTCGACAACTTAGCATATTCTGTCCCCGTCAAAAATCACATTGGCTCGATTTGTTGATGGCGACTCAGATGCCTACCCGCGCCGTATACACATAAGTCCCTCGAACTGATTAAATTCAGATCCGTGATCTATACATATGACCCTATTCCAAAGCAGTTTGTTTGGAGTAGTAGGTAAAATTTCAAAGGTATCCTTCAATTCTTAAGATGGAAATTTCTTGATGCCCCAGCCATCTAAATTAATCTTCCCTCGATGGATCTTTACAAACTTTTCCCCAAGTTTGTTTTTACATTGACTTAGAGACAGATCTTCCCCCTTCTCAAAATAAAATGACCTTCATATCCCAAACTTGGTTAACAATTTAATGTTGAGGCAGACGAGAGAAAGGGTTAATTAAAAAATTGAGATAAGTACACAAGAAATTCTAAAACTTGTCACGAAAGTGCAATTGAGTCATAAAACTTTAAAAAAATGCAATCAAGTCCTAAAACTTATCAAATTGATACAATCAACTACTTCCATTAACTCCAGCCAACTTTGCCAACATAATATTCTAACGTGACTTTTTTTCTCTTCTACATGGCTAAAACATGAAGAATAAGGTTAAAATGATGTCGTTTTAGTCCAAATATGTTTTTGTAACCCAAATTTTATTTAAGCTAGATTTAAAATAAGATAAATTTAAAAGAAAGAAACAAAACAATCAAGTAAGGGCTTATAGGGTCCTCGCTGCTGCCGCTCCACCGTCACTGGATAGGGCCAGCCATGGTGGGCGATGGCCAGCAGGGGCAGCGAGACCCCAGCCAGTGGCTAGCGACCCTCATCAACTGTAGTCGAGAACGATCGGGCGAGGGTCGCCGGCTCTCGACCAGATCTGACCTAAGGCTGCTAAATCTCGGAGAAGGTTGTTGCACTTTTATGACAAGTTTTAAAATTTTCAGTACACTTATCTTTATAAAATACAAGTCCAGATTTTCTCACATCATTGTAACCTTGAAAGTGCAAAATCAGTGGAGCCTGTTGAAACTTGCTATTGTTTGTCCACGGTGAGTTTCTGCTGCCTCTTCAATCATGAATAGCTTATCCCATCAAACATAATTTTCAGCAAGTTAACTAAAGATGTAAGGTACTCTCTGGAAAAAAGAAAAGACCAAAAAAGACAGAGAGAGATCATGTGGCAGACAAAGATGCAATCACCATTCAAGCAGATCTCAGGTTGATCAAGTGCTTTTCTTCCAAGAATCTGCCATGAGGGCTAGGCCCCGATCGTCACGACGACGTTTCATCCGCATCGTAGGACGACGACATGGAACAGCTAGTAATAATTCAGAAAACACTCATTTCCTCTCTAGTTTAATTCGTTCTTTTTTTCTCTCTTTCATACTACTTTTAGGAGATAATGTTTGACATTTTGACATTGATTCTGTTTGAGCTTTGACTTTCCTCATTAAAATAGTCGGAATAACCATTTTATTTTATTCAATTTTCTTTCATTATTTCTTGTCAATCTCATATTTATCTCATTCTTTCTCTATTAACGAATTTCGTTGTCCTTCATGCTAGAAGTAGATTACGGATGATTAAATGTGAGAAATTCATTGTTTCCTTGCCCATAATCTCGATCATTGCAAATTACAATTTTGTTAATCTGTAGCTATGTGTTCTTATTGGGTTTTTTGATATATGCACGAGTTTTTCATGGTAACTTCTTTTTTGTAAAAGTTTGAGGTTGAATTGGCGGTTGGGTTTGCTTAATGATGACATAGATTATCCTTCTCTCTATATATATCCTACAAGAGAAAAAAAAAACGAATATAAACCGATGTCAAAGTTAATCCAAAATTTAGAATTTGAAAATACTTTTTTTTCTGTTGTTTTGGGAATTAGAGTTTCTTGTAAAAAGAAAAAAAAAGAAAAGAAATTGGACAAACTAGTCACAAAACACCATTGATGCTTGGAATTGGCCTATCCCCATCTTGGGGAATAGGATTTATGACTGCGTTCTTTATTTTAATGTGCCGAAACCCCCACACCTCGCACCCCTAATTTCCCTGTATCATTATTTTCCCTAAGGAGGAGGGAATACCCTCTTGAAGTTTTACATCCCTTGATATCGAGGTGCGGATAAGGACCAAGAAGAAGCATTTTAAGGACTTGCTCAAATCCACACTCTCTCTACATCCCTACAGGAGAAAAATAAACAAATATAAACCGATATCAAGGTTAATCCGACATTTAGAATTTGAAGATACTTTTTTTTTTTGGTTGTTTTGGGAATTAGAATCTCTTGTAAAAGGAAAAAGAAAAATTGGACAGACGAGTCATAAATCACCTTTGATGCTTGGAATTAGCTCCAGAGGACCAACTGAATTTCAACCACCCAAATAGGCTTGTGATCAAGTTCTCCAAAAGATTCCAAGACCAAAGTTCAGCCCATCCCAAGACCAAAAAAAAGCCCAAGTAACTGCTGCTGATAGAAAGTCGGTTCCATCATCTTAATTATGACAGAGACATATATAGGGAAATGCAGCAACAGTTGCATAATCACATAGGCTCCCTGCTCATTTCACATTTCCAGAAACATATGACTTTCTGATCAGGCCAAATACCAAAAAGCACATCAACTTCAAGAACTCGTGAATTCTTTGATAAGAGATGAAAAAATACCTATTTTAAGATTTACCATCCTAAAAAGATGATATGACACATGACGTGATTGATGGCGACGTTTCAAAATGATAAATTAGTAGAAAAAGCGCTTTAGTGATCTTTCGAAACTATGTGGAACAGATGAATCCAAGTTAGGATGAATCCGAAATGATAACGTTTTGCAGCAATGATGCCATCTGACTTGTATTGATGTGTTCACGGTGTCTTTTGGCTATTACTAATATGTCTTTTGTACGCATCGACCATGTTAGTACGTCATGTGCCACTCAACTTGCATGGAAGAAAACTTAATAGTGGGTAATTTTGTTTTTTGGGTGAAAATTCTATAATGTTTTTTGATCGATTGAAAGTCAGGGTATGTATGTCCCCAGGGGAAAAGTTTGTGGACTTTTTGTGGGACTTGGCCCTTCTGATCCGACCCACTCCTAAGTTTGGCGGCTCAATTGGCCAACAGACCACCACGACCCAAACGGTGCATACGCGTATGGGTTTCGGAAAAGTGACTCGTCCCAATCGGTTCACTCGAACACATCGTCCACCGGTGACCAATTGACCGACTGTTTACGACATGCCTCACCGTTAATCTGTTGATGGGATCATGGTGGTTGGTCTGTTGTAGAAACGATTGGAAAGATCCATATGTGCTAAGGGAATTAAGCCGAGAGAACGTTCCATAAAAATGTGGACTGACCCTGATCTGATTTCACGCGGCAAATTTGATCCGTACCACATAGGAGAAGATGATCTCTCGTGCTGGTTCTGTTGTCTGCTTCTCATCTACCTCCAACCACTGGTCTAATACATGAATGTTGGACCGTTGGACAAGAGACGAACCTCTTGATTTGAATCCATCAATTATCTCCATCCAACCAGATATTCCCATCCGAGAAAGAAATTATCCCAACACGGTTCGAAAAACTAAAACTCAGATTGAAAAGAGAGAAAAGCAGAAAAGAAAGGTCAGAGATGGCATTGTATAGGTTCGCTGCATCTGTAGAAGAAAGTGATGGAAACAATGATGGGTCACTCTCAAACTTTTCAATTCTCAATTCCAGCTGCCGTCGACGGTTCAATGCCTGCTCCTCTGTTTTTTTTTTTTTGGTCAGAAAACATTATATCATACACTCATTCAAGTAAAAGTTTGTGACATTATACGGGCTTCAGAACAGAGCAATTCCAAAAGACAAGTAAGGGGATAAGCAATCCAATTAACCGGTAAACATTTATTACGGTGGGCTTTGGCGACCAATCCTCAACTTGATTACTTGCTCTTCGGTAATGGGTCATCTTTAAATTGCTGAATAACTTTGCACGGGCCTAGGCTTATGTGATCAATGCATAAGCTTCCCAACTCACTTGATCTGCTCCCTCGCTCATCATCTCCACCAGATCAGTTCGATCTATCTCTAACACAATATTCAGTTTACTTTTTGCTTCAAAATGTTTTAGGGTTTCAAGCACAGCAGCGGCCTCCGCCCAAATTGCCGACGAGACTGTTACCGATAGAGCAAACCCATCTATCAAGATACCCGGCTGTCTTGGCATACACACGCAATGGTCCCTTCCCCTGTTTCGGCAACAAAAGACCCAGCTCCTCTGTTTGATTGGCGTTGCTTAATGCTTGCCCCTATGGTCGACTCATTGATCAACTTGGAAGCGTGTCGAGCTCGGGACAAAGACAAACCTCAACACAATGATTGAACCCCCAAAGACCATCTTGCACAGCACAACGTTAGACCATTTTCAATCCTCGCAGCACAGGGACTCTTGCATACAACCTTCTCTCGGCAAATTCCAACTAAAAAATTGTAACTTTTTAAAGATGCTTGACAAAAAGAGATTTAATAGTAGGCCTGGCAGCATTAAATGATTAGAAAGGTAAAACCAAATGTCCATTTTTTTTCGCCCATTGATTGCCCACTTTATGAGGATCGGTTGCTCGAATTATGATGCTCTTGGTTATATTTCGCCTTGACGTCAATCTGAAGCCCAGTTTGCAGTGGCATGCGAGAGAAACATGCGGTTTAACACAGAACAAGAAAATGGACACGAATCTGAGGTGCTAAAACAATACGAGGCGCTCATTCTGACGTCAGGCTATGGGAAGCTCGTCATCTTCATCTGCATACGAAACACGATAGGAGGCGTGATCCCACGTAACGTGAAAGAAAGTAAGAGAATCGAGAGGCTAGGAAAAAGAAAATGAAGGGTCTTTCTTGTCGCAGAGACATTAGCTAATCATGGCGTGAAGCAATGGACAGCTAACTTCATTCCAATCAATCCACCATAATTCGTCTCCCCATGAGCAACTCAACCCACGTTTCTAATTCCATTCCGATCAATGAAAGTTTAAAAATGGGAACTCGTCCAGCTTGTCGCACCAGGTGCAATTGCAAATTAGCCGACCAACTCAATCATTGAACGTTTTCACGTTCAGGACAGAGTACTAAGAGAAAAGAAAATGGAGAAACAGAGCGCCGTGACCCAAATGAGCATAAAAGAAAGAGCAGAGCACGTTCCGGTGTTCGAGAAAACAGAGCACGTTGACTCATGTTCGATGGGCATGAAGGAGAAACAGTAGTGAAAAGGGGGCCCAACAAGCTTCAATGGTCCCACCAAAATTGAAACCTCTCCGATCCAAATCAAGGACGAAGAGCCACACCCAGTCGACCTATTCTAGCATTTATTTTTGGGAAGAAATTTTCCTTTCTTCGTCGACATTTCCGAGGACACACACACACCCACCCAAAAGCCCCCGTCTCCCTCCCTCTCTCTCCCATACGGAGATCGGCCTGTTTGATGATCATTCTTCCCTTTAATTAACGTTGGTTGGGCCTGTTTACAGGTCAGTCTCTTTCCTGCTCAAGGCACAATTATTGTATCAGAATCTGATTAATCTTTGAATAATGTATTCAAAACTATCTATATTCTGTGGGTGGTCTTCTTCAAAGCATCACTAATAAATGGATTGAAAGAAAAAGAAGAAAAGAGGAAATGGGATTACGTGAATGAGGTGTCTCTTGCCTGTTGGGATTCAATTATGATGACTCGGATCCGAATAAATTTAAAAGAATATTCTTTTGATTGCTTCCACAGAGCAGAGCTTTCTACTTGTTGGCGGTCCGTTTTTCTTAAGCTGTCTCGGCAAGCGAGAGAGTTCTTTTTGGGTTCCTTCGCTCTCCGATTACTACTTTCTTGTTCTCTTTTCCTTAATTTGACTTGCCGGGCAGTTAAATTCGTTTGATCATTGATTGTTGTCGGATCGACAAGCTATCGGGTTTGTGCTTTCAAAGGGTGGAGCTTTATGAGTTGCTATTAAATGGGTCGTCCCGTGGCGGTGTCAAATTGAGATTTCATCGGTCTGGGTTGTGATCGGTGGAGTTTTGATTTGGGTCTCTCTCGGGTTCTTGATTGAACCCAGCTGGAGTTTTGCTGTTTCAAGAGACTGAAATTCAAAAACAGAACAGTTTGCTGTTTTGAGAGAGAGAGAATGCCTGATGATTATGTGAGGCAATCATTTGGGTGCTTGAATTATGGTTGGAATTTGAATTCTATATCTGGTTGTGTTGAGGGATCATAACATTTCTGTAGAGATGTATGCAGTAGGTAGGCTAGGTAGTTACATCACACGGGGCGTCTCCACTGTTTCTGGTCCATTTCATCCCTTTGGTGGAGCTGTGGATATAATTGTGGTGGAGCAACCGGACGGCAGCTTCAAATCGTCTCCCTGGTATGTCCGCTTCGGGAAATTCCAAGGCGTGTTGAAGGCGAAGGAGAAGATCGTCAACATCAGCGTCAATGGAGTTGAGGCCGAGTTTCACATGTATTTGGACCGAAGAGGAGAGGCTTACTTCCTCCGAGAAGTCGAGGGAGAAGATGGGGATTCGGTGCCATTCCCGTCTTCTTCGTCTTCTGGCGACGATACAGATGGGCAGTCTCAGGCAAATAATAAGAGGCCGATGAAGTACAAAAGCTGCAATTTCAACTCGAGAGGACCAGATTCCACCGATTTGAGCGATCAAAAGATTGTTGCTAGGACCAATTCTCGAAGGTCGCGCATTTTCGGGCTGGTTTTTGGGCGGAGGTCGATGAAGGCAGATGGTTATAAGGATGAAGATGGTGATCCCGGTGTGGAGAGGGTGGATTCGTTGGAGCGTGCAGAGATTGCCGCAGACCTCTTGGAGATGAAGTGGTCAACAAATCTTTCCACTAAGAACTACGGGAAGGATGCTGCTTCTCGGTTTCGTGCTAATGTTGTTCTGGATAATAAGCCTGACGAGGTTTTGCAGATAGAGGACAAAAATGGCGGGGCAGAAAATCCTTTGAAGAGCGGTTTATCATGTGAAGGAACTGATTCTGGTCACCAGGATCAGTCAGTTGAATGGGTGGAGCATTGTGTTTCCAATGGTGGCGAAGAATTGCCACGTGATAGCACTTCAGAACAGGTTTTTGAAATTTCAACAGTCAGGGACAGTGTTTTGGAAGAGCAGAGTGACTTAATAGTGGAAGAAACTAGACAGTATGTCCATAGTGTGGATACTGCTGACAAGACTGTAAATGTAGAGGTTGTAATTGCCGAGATCCCTGGCCCTGTTTCAGAAACTTCCAGTTTGCTGGATCAGGAAGAACTCAAGAAATACGACGGATGGGATTCCACTGAAAAGAATGCTGATTTTCTGGAAAATGGCATTGTTTACGAGAACAGGGATGCTGATAAAATTGAATCCTGTGCTTACTGGGTGACGTCAGAGACCTTTGATTCAGGATTGCATGCATCAACTGAGCATTCTCATGAAGAAACGTACCTTGCTAGTGGAGAAGCTAGTGAAGTTTCTAGCAAAACAATTGAAGCCAAAACTGTGATACCGCCTGAGGTAAACTCTCTTTTGAGGTCAGTTATCATCGTATCGGTGCATGAAATCCTTATAATCCATCATACTTAGGATTGAGACACTTATTATTTGGTATTTTGGTATATAACTGCTGGTGATTTTATCAAGCATTCAGCTGGAGCTGCTCTAAGTGTTCTTCATTGTGTTCTTAAATGCTGTCTCGACTGAGTAATCATAGGTTTTTAGCAGGATATAATCACCGAGTTCCAAGCTGAAGATGTTGAACTGGACAAACAACAAAAGGATTCTCAACAGACATTTACGTCTCCTTGGTTAATAGATGAATGTATTAAACTGCAAGATGAAGAGCCAGTTTTAGCAGCAGCTTCTTTTGACAAGATAGCAGAAGCTGAACCCACATGTGGTGAAGATATCCGGAGCATGATTAGTGTCACTGAAAAAGATCACCTCTCTTATGATGATAAAAGCTATAGAGATAATATCGGTAGTGAGCTGAAAGTTAACTTGGAGACCAGTGGCAATGCTGAGAACTGCCATGGTGATTGCCTTGTGTCAAAAACTACAATTTCTCCAACATCTGAAAGTTCAGAGGAGGAACAATTTCCTTTCAGTGATCTTGATGGATTCAATGTCAATGAGGTCACATGTATGGATGCAGTTTCACCAGAGCCTATGAATGAAGAAAGTCATCCCTTGTTGAGTATGCAATGCGGTGGGGTGACTGATTCGAGTGATGGACATGAGAAGTCATGCGCATCTTCCGATTTTGAAGATCAAGAGAATTCATCAATTGACCCTGATAGTACAATTAAGGAGTCAAATATTGTGTCAAGCCCCATTAACATTTCTAGAAGCCACGGCATTGGTGGGGATGAAGGTATGTGGCTAGTGGAATCAATGCCAAACATGAGGTCTCATGTTGAAAATGTGGACTCATGTGTGCTCCACGTTCCCCTTGGTCACTCACTAGATTCAAATTACAAATCACTGGAATTTTCTATCCCCAAAAAGGAGGATGCAAGCTGTTCAAGTTCTTATGCATGCAAAGAGGACCAATTAGCGCAAGACCAGCCTAATGCTGAAGACATCCAGGGTTTAGGGGGCACGGCAAATTTTCCTTTCGATCCTGCAGTAGGTGAGATATTTTGGATCATTAACTGCCTAGTCTCTTGATGCTGTCAAACTTAGTTTGTTTGGTTTTATCTCTCTTTACTGGAAATTGTCAGTGTTATTTCTCTCAACGTGGAGCACATGTTAGATGTTCAGTGTAGACAGAGTTTCCTTATCGACTAAATATTGCATTTGTTATTGTATCTTTATGATGCTTTTCTTCTTTTCTGTATCCAACTAGCCTCTGAATGAAATGGTAGCTTTTGGGAAAAAAAAGCTTATCTGCTTCTTTCTTCACAATTGCTGAAGCAGATTACTGACTGAATTCGCGCTTAATGCAGAAGTGTCCCTCTGCAGACACTTGTTGTATGTAGGTATGGGGGCTGATGCTGCGTCCCAAGCATTTGATGCTGAAAAATTGGACATCCATAGATATACTTCTCTAGGTCCTTCTGTTGTCAAGGATGATAGGCTTGTTGTTAGAATTGGCGGTCGCTACTTCCCTTGGGATGCAGCTTCTCCCATTCTTCTGAGGATGGCTTTATTTGGAACTGATCGGATATTCGAACCAAAGGGCATGATAGCCATTGATAAAGATGAGAGAACTCTTGATGGGGATGCATCAAAAGCCATAATTTCACCTGGTGGAAGCTGGAGAATTTGGCCCTTCTCCTTCAAAAGTTCCAAATCTCGAAAAGCTATGTATAGTGTTAGAAGCTTCGGTGCTGAAAGTGTTTCAGAGATAGCTAACAGCCTGAATGCAGACGAATTGCTGCCTAAACCAGAAGTGGTGAAAAAGATGGCGAGGGCAATGACTCCCACATCTAAGCAGCTTGCATCCTTAAATTTGAAAGAAGGAAGCAATTTGGTGACCTTCACATTTTCCACTGCAATGCTGGGAAAGCAGCAGGTTTTTCGCTACCCTTAGCTTAAGAAGTCGCTTTTTTAAAGAATATTGATGTTTCTTTCCTTATTTATCTCAAACCAGAAAAGAAGTTCGTGCTGAGTTGGGATTTTTCATCATGATTCAGGTAGATGCACGAATATATTTGTGGAAATGGAACACTCATATCATCATCTCGGACGTTGATGGGACCATAACCAGGTGAGTCTATTTTTTGGAATGCACGTAAATAGCATACTGCGTTGTGATGTTTGTTTCATTTAGAATCTTTGTAAGTAAAATAATTTTGCAAGCAGCAAGTCTGGCAATGAGTGGCTGCAGACACCACTCCTTGAAATGGAACTTGCAGAGAAAAAGGACGGTTGTTGGCATCTGTGAGATGTAATAATACAGTGAAACAGCACGAAGCAATGTGTTTTCATTTGCTTAGCCAAAATTAGGGAACCGTTTCCAATTTAAATGAGGAAATTTCTTGTATAATGTTTTATCAGGTAATGTCTTTTGTGTATTCCTGAGCTGTATCTTCTCACAATTGTAAGCTTACCCTTCTCTTTGATCTTCTATGCCTCATTTTTGTAAGAATGAGGGGACAAATAAGGATTAGGCATTAGATATTAAGGGACAAACAGCTTTACTTCCCTCTCGTTGCTGATTACTTTCTGTGTGTTCATCCCCCATATTTTAACCGTGATTTCTTTCAAAATTATGTTTAACAACTATACAAACTACCTATTTGAAAATTATGTTCTGTGTTGCAAGGGCCTTCCATGATCCCACCAGGTTATAGACACTAAATTGATAGCCTTTTTCTTAACCAAGTTACTTCAAACTTTCGCCATGAAAACCGTAAGTCCACTGGCTTGAACAATAATAATGATGAACAGGAAAATGATTGGTGTTCTAAGATTTGATGTGCAAACTTCCCATTGCAGCTGCTTCTACCATGATTTTAAAATGCGATATGAATAGGAGAACACTTGGTGAGGGAAAACTGCTGGCATGAAATGAACCCAATTAACTTGAAACATGGCATGAATTTAACTTTTTTTCTCGCAAAATTCAATTTTTCCTCATATAAGTCATATTTAGACCATCTTGTCACTTCAAGACACTTATTTCTGATATCAGCAAGAAAGTGAAATGACAAGAATTGTCCATTCTAATTCCAGTACATGACTCTGTTTTTTTGTTTGCACTCAGGGTTTCTAGCATTATTGATATGTGTGACTCGGTTGTGCAGTTCATCTCTCTGAATTTCTCCATATTTTACTGGCTCATCCTTCGTAGATACTATTTCCATGCTTTAACTCCGTCACAGATTGTATTGCTTCCTCATAGATTTGATCCTTGTTAGTGTTTTGTTGTGAACAGATCGGATGTTTTGGGTCAGTTTATGCCTTTAGTTGGAGTTGATTGGTCACAAAGTGGGGTTGCACATCTGTTTTCAGCTATTAAGGTTTGTCCATCAAAATACTCGTGTAAATGAACGTTTGACTCCCACTGAATATTGTAGTTCGCTCGCCTCGTGTTTAACTGAAATGTCATCTCTTCGATATGGCACCTTTGGCAATAAATAAATTCATTCCGAATTAAGAATATGATATATTTGGTTTTCCTTATCTTAATTTTTCTGGAGGTTCACTGTGCCCCACAAATGCACCACGCTTGACTGCGACAGTTGAGGACGAGATCTTTGAAACTCACACATTAAGTTCTTGGTCATTGTTCCAGGAAAATGGGTATCAATTGCTTTTTCTTAGTGCACGTGCAATTTCTCAGGCTTATCACACTAGGCGATTTCTGTTCAACATCAAGCAGGTAATACCCAAAGATCTGAGTGTTTTTCTACTGATTTTGGAAATGTGAATAAACATGTGTTGTCATCATTATATGAGCATTTCAGCTATCGGGTTCTTTGTTCAGGATGGCAAGACTTTACCAGATGGACCTGTTGTCATTTCTCCTGATGGACTTTTCCCTTCTTTATTTCGAGAAGGTACAGTATGTATGGTTGGGTAAATTGAAAATAGATGATGTAGTAGGTTACTATCTTTACAAAAGGTGTCTAGAATCAAGATTGATGAGCTGATTGTCTTGCATATAATAAGCGAGTTATCTTTTTGATAGATGTTCGACATATTGATATTTCCATCTATTATTTCTTTCTTTTGATTTTGTGTTTTGGAGTTGGGGCGGGGGGTGGGGGGGGTGTGGGTTTGGTGGTGGGGTGAGGATGCTGACTACCTGAAAGTTGGGATGGCAACACTAAAACTTTATCTGACAATATGCCATTAAGGCTATGTTTTGGAAAGTAGAAAATGGGGTAATGCAAAATTTGAGTGAACAGTCTAGAAAAATTTGAAAAAATTGTGAGAGTAGAAAAGAGGGACAATTTTAAAAGTTTATAATTTTTTCTCCCATTTTTCTTTCCCCACTCTATTGAAACAAAGCCTAATAGCAGTTTATTTAGGACTGTTTGTCTACACTTCTTATTAAGCAAAAAATACTTGTTTTGCTTTCCTGCCAAAATTTAAAACAATATTCGAATTTCAGAAACCTATGAAAATATCATATGTGACCCTACATATCGACATATGTGTATTGTGGAAGTTTAAGGAGTTTCAGATTTGAAAATGTCAAAATGCAGGAACTGTAAGATTTAGATCAAGTAAAAGGTAAAAAGTAAAAGTCAATCCAGACAAGCCATCAGTCGTTGTAAAACTCCAGGTTTTAACTGAAAAAAGGCATGTAATTTCAGAAATATTTCTACTTTCTTTACATTAAGTTTTTAGATGTTCGAGTTTTGTACTTTTAGTCTCTAATTTCTGACTCAGTAGGTAATTCATTCTGGTCAAATCTTAAATAATTTCTAGAAAATAGACGTTGAGTAGATTCTTGACACTCTTATCTTCTGCTGAAGTTCAGATAGTCTTTATGGCTCGTTGAGTTTCTCCTGGACTAATTTTTGTTTTGTTTTTTCATCAGTTATAAGACGGGCGCCTCATGAATTCAAGATTGGATGCTTGGAGGTTTGTCCAATGATCACATGCTTTTTTTGTTATAAGATTTAAAGAAGTGTGTCTTGATATGTGCATATCGTAAATTTCTCAAATTTATGATTTTTATTGCCATGAACCTGTCTTGGATTTGTGCTGATAGTTTAACTGATGTTGGTTTAATTACAACCATAGCTGATGCAAGTAGTATGGGGGTTGACCTGGGCTGATGGTTATGCTGATTATTTTGGTTGTCAATGAAGCCCGAAACAAAAAACTGGAAATGTAGATTGCAAGCTTTGTATAACATATGTACTTATTCAGATCTTATTGCGGTTCTCAATATGGATTTTCTAATGACTACTGAATAGCTTGGATGTGGTAATAAAATTGGATTCTTGAGAACCATAAACTTGAGTTTGGGAATTCTCAGTAGTATAATCGCCAAAAAATAGCTCCTCATAATATGAACAGAGATATGGGAGCAAAAAATTGATTTTCGGCTAAAATATCTGACAGCCTGTTTATGCAATCACTACCCACCATCTTTGCTCCTTATGATAAGAACTGGAAAAAACCCGCCACAACCTGTGAAGTGACAGTTTACTAAAGAGAAATTAGCAAAATTTCATTTGTCTGATCAGATTTTTGCAATTCTTTGGAAACAATTCTTGTTCATTTTGATGCTGCTTCACTCGCAATTGAAGGATACTTGCAACTCTTAGCAATCTGGCTGGATAGGCTGTTCTTTTAGATGATTGGAAATGCTCTTTTCCTAAATTGTGCTTCTTCCTTCGATTCTTCTATTCTCCAGGAGATTAGGGCATTGTTTCCTCCTGACCACAACCCATTCTATGCTGGTTTTGGAAATAGAAACACTGATGAAATCAGTTATCTGAAAGTCGGAATTCCAAAAGGAAAAGTTTTCACCATCAATCCTAAGGTATCTGAAATATCATGCTTTTTCAGTGACTACTTAAGAGAGTCTTTAAGAAAAAGAATCAATAGAAGGTGCGACTCATTGTTCATTTTCTTGTTCACAGGGTGAAGTTGCTGTCAACAAACATGTTGACACGAGATCTTATACGTCACTTCATGCTCTTGTGCATGGAATGTTTCCACCGATTGCGTCGGTTGAGCAGGTTTGCTTCTTAAATATTGGCAATTTATATCTTCGTTGAATTATTGATTCATGAATTTCAAACTTAAATACAGCACAACCAAGCATCACCACAATTGATCGGTGTGTATTTTGACATGTGGTAGTGTCTTTTTTGGAGCACAGGCATTAGCTAGCCTTCACAAATTACCTCTGAAAGCAAAAGATTTTTTATTGCATGCATTAAAGGATTTAGGTCTCTTTCGATTTATTCCAGAGTCGCCTTTTATTTGGAAAGTTTCATGGTTTGGCACTTGATACGCTATTTCTTTGTCGGTTGTAGGAAGATTTTAATTCTTGGAATTTTTGGAAACTGCCGCCTGCTACTATCGATATATGAAAAGGTTCAGTGGAAAAGGTCACCTTGTACAGATGCAACTTGGGTTAGTCATGAATCTTCTTCAACAGCTGCGGTAAGCAAGAATTTTGATCTTGCCGTTAATTGCCACAGAACTTTGAGTCAGTCATTTGGTTCACTGCCTTGCTGTGGTCATGCCAAAGACAAATTCACACACTGAAGTCTGCCAATATATTCTGATCGGCATTTGTATGGTCAATATGTTATTTTCCTACTGATATTATGTAGTGAGGCAATATAGCCCTACAAAGTTTTTCTGTTTGGAGAAAGAATTAGCCTGCAAGACTGTTGCAGGGCCATTGTGAATTCCAATACTTTAAGTCTTGACTATTGCGTCTCGAACTTCTCTCTTGGACTCCTTTAAAGCTTGAGTTTTGTTTTGCTTATCAGATTTACAGTATAAATACTAGCTTCCTGTTTTCTCATTAAGCCATCCTGACAATTGCAGGTTGCGTTGAAGCTACAGATGATTCGCATTCTTTTGGTGCTGCAGTGACGGGAAAAATCATGGAGTAGCAGCAAAAATCGTGCCTCTTAGATTCAGCATACTAGTGTCGATTATCAATTATTTATGCATTGAAAAGAGAACCGATATATCGTCTAATCCCATGAAGACTTCACTCTGTACAAATCTTCTTTTTGCTGGAAGTTTAATGGGGAATAGGCTGCTGGGAAACCCCAGCTTGTAAAGTTCACTAGATCAAAGTTGATAATTATTCATTGATTCTCTCTCTCTCTCTCTCCACACGAACACGTACATAGGTTATTAGTACATGTATCTGTACTGTGTTCTCCCCCCGAGTAAAAACAGTGATCGGCCACAGAGTCTTTTTGGAGTTATGCTAAACCATACTAGATTGTTGTTCTCTGTAAGTGACTATTAAGAGTCCCTACTTGATGCCTTGCCAAAATGGTAGATCGGATCGGACTCAGACTGTCCTTTTGCCTACCACCGTCCATGTTCAGAGAAACCTTACGCAGTTTCTTCTTTAATTTTTCATCCATTTTCGTAAGTTGCGCTTAACGTTCTTGAAAGTATGTGCAAACACGATCTCTCCTTGCTAAATGTTCGGCATGAAAACATTCCGTCGCCAGGTCCTGAAACGGGGATAAGCCGTGTTTAGTTTATGGTTTGGACGCCCTCTTTGCAGAATAATCTCGTGGCAGGGGACACCAGTTTGATTCATTGACGATATCCTCTTGATATTTTCATTAATCCGTGCTTTTTATCTACAGTGATTCAGCTATAACAAAGTTCGGCATGTCGATTCATATCCACAATTTTGTCAGCTAAACTCAAGGCATCACTGTTCAGAACTCGTTATGCAGGTTCAATATTCTTTTTTTCTTTTCCATAAAAGAGCTAGGGAATTCATAATCACACAGAAAACAGTTGAGCTTGAGGGCCACCTCACGGCAAGTAAAAGAAATCATACAGGTTTGCAGACAAAAAACAGTTCAAAAGGCTATAACAGTCACGCCCAGTTGCTTCTTGGCGAACTCGAGGAGGTTGTTGATCTCCTTGTCGTCGATGAATCCGTCTCTGTTGGCATCGACACAACTCACTGCCTGCTTGCTCTTCCACCTGGTGAACCACCCCCCGGTGATGCGGATGATGTCGCGGAGCTCCTCCTTGCTTATCCTGCCGTCTGCATCGGCATCAAACTTCTTCAACCAATGCTTGAACTCCTCCAGGGTCATGACGCGGGTGCCATCCGGTGAGATGCTGCGAGACTTGATCGCCATGACCAAGGGATATCGATCACAACTGCTCTGCGTATGCAGTGCACGGCCATGGAAGGGTGCTTCAATTTATATAGCAGTCTCGCCGCTCTTTGGTATCCTCGAGACCATCTCTACCTTTTCTCAGGGTGATCATTTCCTTATTTCAGAATAAGAATCTGAAGGGTCTCTTTGTTTGGCATGAAACGAAAGTTAAAAGTTCCTAAGAAAAAGAAATTTATCCATTTTTCGGGTTTAAAATAATTATCCCGAATTTTCAAAAATGGTGAAAAATATGTTAGTATGAGTATAAACAACTATATATTGTGAAACTTCTAGCGGTCTCGGATCAAAAGTAAAACTCAAAGTGCGTAAGCGCATATCTGAATTAAGCGAAAAGTAAAAGTCAATCCAGATGCAAAGGGTGATCGGATCTTGGTCCAATCCGGTCCCACTCAGGAACCGAGAATTGTACCAAAAGAATCGATTCCCAGTTTCTGGAACCAGGGACTAGATCGGATCGGACCGGTTCCCGGCAGTCCAATGGGAGATGAAAATGAAATCAAAATGCAACCTCTTGCACATATTCGTGTCCAGACATTGAAAAGCCAAACTACTCTTTTCTAGCGATTAGTTCATGAATTGACCACATCACGAACCCATTATAATAATAATTGGTCGGTGTTGTACTCCCTTTGAGAATTTATAGATTATTCATTTCGCTTACTTTTATGAGCGACTTACCGAACACGAAGGATAAAAATAGACAACGAAGTAGCTTCGAGCGGGACACATGAGAAGGGAAGGGAAAGAAATTTGAGGGAGAAATAAAAAAATATGAAAAAAATAAGAAAATCATCGGTCCGGTCCGATTCGGACGGTTCTCAATTCAATCATAATCCGTGTTGCTCACCCTACTGGACACATCTTTGAATTTCATGAGGTTTTTATCGTGACTCTGCATAGTTTAAGAAAAATTAACGATGCGGTGGTAGCAACAGTGGTGGTCCAGAAACAGTCAATGTAATGGCAACCCCCAATTGCCTCTCCATGGGGGTTCGCATTCTATTCATTGTTCGTGCTTTTGCTGGTGGATAATGCTCCTTATGCTGATTGCATTTTTTGGCTCGTGGAGTCATGGTCAAAACACGTATTTTCCCCCTTCTTTTGAGGCAACGCATAGAAAGATCCTCCGAAGCTCTGTTTGGTGGGTTCTATCCATACACATTCAAGGTTTTCTTCGATACGATTGGAATCACATTCCCATATCCAATGGAGATAATTGAGAGGTACCCTGATATAGTTAGTGGGTCCTTATGCTCATATAACATGATTTCATTTACTTGTTGTTAGCTCTTCTTGACTATACTCAATGATTTTCTTCACAGGGATTCTTATGATTGAAGGGTAAATTAACATCTTCAATTTACTCTCTTTGGTGGGTCGTGCGTGATGCGCGGCCAACGTGGGTAGAGGGGAGGAGAGAGGGCCGTGGAAAAGTTGAGGTTTTCTTCTTCTTTTTTAATTATCGAGTATCGCGGGGGCGAATGTCGCACATATAAGGACTAGTAAGTGGGAAACAATACATGGAAACGAAATGTGGGAACTGTATCCCTCATCCACCTTTCGTACGAACAAAAGTTCTATTCTATACTAGGCAAAGAGCGACCACGTGTGAGTGAGTTCTCAAAGGATTGAACCCCAAATGTTACTTTTCCCCTTTTTGGGGAAATCACACGCTCCAAGCAGAGAAAATTTTGGGGAAAAGTACCAAAAAAGTCTTAAACCTTTTGCATTAGTGCTAATTTAATCCTAAACCTTTTTTTAGTGTCAATTCAGTCCTAAACCTTTTGCATTTGTGTCAATTTAGTCATAAACCTTTTTTTGGTGCCAATTAAGTCCTAAACCTTTTAAATTGATGTCAATTCAGTCTTAAACCTTTTGTTTTTGTGTCAATTTAGTCCTTCCGACCAATTTTGATCGGAATTTGCCAACGTGGACACCGGCCGGCCGGTCACCGGCACCGACATGGACAACTTTAATAATATTTTAATATTTTTTTGAATTTTTATTTTTTTTCCACTTTTTTTTTTGTCTCTCCCCCTTCCTCTAGCCGGCGAGCTCGACCTCGCCGGCCACTGTCGAGGGCGGCCTCGCCCGGCGAGGGCGAGCCTCGCCATGGTCGGTCGAGGCTCGACCTCGCCAGATCTGGTGAGGTCGGGCCTCGACCGACCCATGGCGAGGCTCGCCCTCGCCGGGCGAGGCCGCCCTCGACAGTGGCCGGCGAGGTCCGGCGAGGATGAGCCTCTCCCGACCATGGCGAGGCTCGCCCTCGCCGCGGCCTCCGGCGAGGGCTCGAGCCTCATCTAGCGACCTCGCCAGTGGCCGGCGAGGTCGAGCTCACCGGCTTCTGGCCTCTGGCTGGTCGCCGGACCGGCGACCGGCCAGAGGAAGGAGGGAAAGACCAAAAAAAAAATGGAAAAAAAATATAAAAAAAAGGAAAAAAAATAAAAATTCAAAAAAATATTAAAATATTATTAAAGTTGTCCATGTCGGCGCCGGTGACCGGCCACCGGCCGGCCGGCGTCCACATCAGCAAATTCCGATCAACATTGGCCGGAATGACTAAATAGGCACAAAAACAAAAGGTTTAGGACTGAATTGGCACCAATTTAAAAGGTTTATGACTGAATTGGCACCAAAAAAAGGTTTAGGACTAAATTGACACCAATGCAAACGGTTCATGACTGAATTGGCACCAAAAAAAGGTTTAGGACTAAATTGGCACTAATGCAAAAGGTTTAGGACTTTTTTGGCACTTTTCCCGAAAATATTGTGTAGGACTATCTCGCCACGTCATCCCTGAGGCAGCTTTCTCCTTTCCTGGATGACCGGATTCTCGATTGTCAATCGCCACTTCTCTATTTTAGTGGGGAAGTAAATGATGCTTGCATTACATGCGTTGAATCACGAGATAAATTATTCATAGATAATTGGTAAGGCTAATTCCATACTAAATCTTGACATATTGGCAACGATAAATTGTTCTTGAATTTAAAACCCAATATATGTAAGATTATTTTTTATTTTGGTTTTACATTTGCAAGGTTGTCTTATCATCGTCTTTTTCGGCTGTTGCACCTAATTCAATTGTCTTTTTGGGATAAACTGTTCATATTTGATTTTGAAACAATGTTTTTTTTTTTCTTTTGATGCCCATGAAGAATCTCTTATCTGGGATTATTCAATAAATCAGTCCGCTGCCTATCATTGAGAGATAGTTCGAGGGGGAGCGAGCGAGTCCTTTCGGTATATCGAGTTAGCTTTGATTTCAGGCAAAAATTTAAACCACGAACCCGTCAAATGTCGTAATCAATGCACATAAGGCCCATAATTTGCTTGGGACTACTTTGCTAACATTCTCACATGTGCATCAAGGCAAAATCTTTCTTGAACAAAAGTATCCCTGCATAAAGTTAGTTGCCATCGCGAATCTTTAGAAGAGAATGCATGAACCCAAAAGGCCACAGGCAGCATAAAGAAGTATCCCCACCTGACCTAAGGGACCCATGAAAAAAGAAGTTATGGCATCGAGACAAGCAGCATATTGAAATACCCACGTCAATTGATAATGAAATTTATGTACATTTTATACACATGAGGTCTTGCTTCACTAGTTAACTTTTTATCATGATATCCAGGTTCAACCCCATTTGCGTGCATGTTCACCTTGCTAGTCAGATTTCCACGTGCCGCTCCTAGTCCAGCCTGCACATGTATTGAAATATCTCAGATCACTCGACAACGGGATTTATATGCTCTCTATGCAGTCTCCCTTTACTTATCAATTTAAGCATGCGTGTTGTGACAATGTTTTGTGACGCCATGACAATCGGCCTTAATCAATTGCGAAAGAGTCTTTGAAAAAGGAAATGATGATAGTATGCGACCCGATATGTTTTAGAAATTCCTGCTTTGCATGGCCAATCACGTTTTTGTTAATTACAAAAA